TGGGTTCAGAAAACACCTAATCCGGTTTGGTTCCAGCAATTTGATTCATCTGTTTTGTTTGGTTCGGGTGGTTTGGTCTGGTTCTGTCGTTTTGTTCAAATAAGTTCGTTTGTTATGGCTGAGAAGAAATCAATCGTAACTTTTGAGGTGATCCCAATGATATCAAAAATCACAGAACACAAGTTCAATAGATCACTTGTCTAACAAGTTGGGCACGATTAACATATATGCACCAACTTGAGGGGGAGTGTTAGAGTATATATTAGTATATTTTATATTCTTGTATTAATATTAATTTGTCCTTTACCTTCTCCTTATAGGATTAGGTCAACCTTGTATATTTGTCTATATATATAGACTTTAATAATGAGAATACAGAACATTGGATTCTCTCCAACCTTAGTCTCTACACCAACCATGACCACATAGCCCTTGGGAAATAAATTATATCACTTATTGGAAAGGGAAACTGGCTTCCATAGGTCTCCAAGAATCTGTGCTATAGCGAAGCCACCACTGAACTATAAGGTGGAGGCCTCCAAAAATGGTCTTTTAAAAATTAGGTGATCAACCTTGGATGTCTGAGTCTCCTCTGTACTAAAAAAAAAAGGTAATCAAGAGATCGAATCACTATGTGTACATTTTTTTGGTAATCTTGGATCTCCTTAAGAGACTTTCAAAATAGTTTATTTAAGATAGCAACTCCTTTGAGATAAAAGGAGACAAGAAGTCCCCTCACCAGAGACAACAACTCCTTCGAACTTTTTTCTTTATTTTCATTTATCAATAAAATGAAGAGTTTGTTCCTTGTTATATATATATGTATGTGTGTATATATATATTTTTCCACTTAGCCCACCATTTATTAGAAGAGTGAGGGAGATACGACGTAAAATCTATTTTCTTCGTGTTTCACTAAAGCCTTTTAACTCTAAGAATTATGTAGAACTCCTAATCCATCTTATCATAACTTTGTCCACATCAGATTTTATAATGAAACCCTTTCTTAGATTTCCAAAAATAAACTATTTCATTGGCAAAGAGAATGAGATCAACAATTTGCCTACCAGCATAAAAAGCTGATTGATTGTCTCTAGTAAACGGTATCTGAGAAACTCCTTTCTAAGAGGGTAGTGTACCACCTGTACTGCTATGCTTGCCAAACTAAAAACGTGAGCAGACTTTAGAGAGGTCTGCATTTTCCCAACTCACTTGATCTTCTGTGAGCCTGTCTCTCTACTCTTTCCCTCCTCTTTCCCTCCTATTTTCTTAGGTCATTTCATAACCATAACAAACATACAAAAGGTGGCCTCTCTAATTCTAACCATCCAGGCTCCACAATGCTCACAACTATTACATTAATTACCCCTTCTAGAGAGGCCCACTTTTTAGTGAGCTCGGGGATAAGAGACTTCACATTGAAAACATCACTACTATGCAAAATCCACCATCTAGAATCCTCCCAGTTATTAGGCTCAAGAAAGTTAATCACATTCTGAAGTCAAGTACACTCCTGAAATTCGGCATTAGTCAAATTCCTTCTAATGAAGAGATTCCATGAGAGAGATTCAACGGACCAAGCTTCCTGAAAGATGTAATTATTTGAGTTAGCAACATTGTATATCCTTTGGAGGGAATATTTATGTAAATCCCAGCTTTTTGGGACTTAAATTGCATAGGGACAAGTAAAACTCATGGCACAACCAACCGACTTTCTTGTCAATTGTCATGTAACCCAGCTAATGGGGTCAGACATGCATACACATAACGTAACATAAACATGTAGGACCTATGGTGACTGAGTGTTCCTTAAACTACGCCCCTACTGCCAACAATCATTAGCCAAACGCCGCCATGAGAAGCTGTCACCGAAGTACTTTGGCCCATACCAGATTCTGAAGCGCGTTTGCACCATGGCATACCAGCTCGAATTGCCTTCCACAACTTCCCTTCACCCGGTCTTCCATGTATCCTAGCTTAAACGCACTGTTAGCAATGATCACACCGTGCAAACCCATCCCCCTGTGCTCTCCACTGACTTTGAATGGATGGTTGAACCCCTGGATGTGATGGCCACCCGCAACAATCCAGACACCGGCAAATTGGAGCTCTTGGTGCAATGGAAGGACCTGTTGGAGCATAAAGCTACTTGGGAAGCCCAAGAGACCATAAAGCAATAGTTTCCTCTATTTCACCTTGAGGACAAGGTGGATGTCACCCCGGGGGTAATGTGAGACCTCTCATTGTAAATACATATGTAAGGAGGGGTAGAGAAGGAAATTCACCCCCAAATGACAGTTAGGAAGGGGCTGTACGGGTAGGTTGGTTATAAGATAGAGGTTTAGCTTGTTTCGAATATCTTTTGTCATTTTGTAAGTCTTTGACTTAGGAAGGAGAGCTCCAGCCCTCTCGAATGGCTGGGAAACTCTGGGTTGCCTTAGGGTTGTAAGTTTGTTTTTGTGTTGAATGTTTTTGAATATCACATTGTAAGGAGATACCTTACACTCACATGCCTTCCCATGCCAACATGTGAGATACAATCGACATGAAGCTAACAAGCAGGCTGATTTAGGTGGTCAATGACAACGATACAATCTCCTCAATGACGTCCTGGGTTGGGTATTGTTTACAAATGACTACTACTCCAAAGTAGTTGTCCCACTTTCAAACCTTAGCCCCACTTAAAAGATAAAATCCAAAGGACCATGAGAAACCCTAAATGACCTTGAGGTCTAATATTGTTAAATTTAAGAGAATAAAAAATATTCTTCTATATACAAATAGTGCAACTTAGGACTTATTATACATGAGAAAGACCTACTAAAAAGAATAGGAAACCTACTACATAAAGGAATAAGAGATTTAAAAAATATAAAGATTTAAAAAGACAACTAATAGATGTTTATATATTCGAACACTCCCCCTCAAGCTAGTTTAAAGATGTCTTCCATAGCCAGCTTGTTGATTAGTTTATCAAATTGCTTCTTTGGAAGTCCCTTGGTGAGTACATCAGCAACTTGCTCTGTCGTGGAAGATAAGAAGTATATATTGTACCTGTATCAGTCTTTTCTTTAATGAAATGTTTGTCAACTTCAATATGTTTTGTTTTGTCATGTAGAACTGGATTATGAGCTATAGATATGGCAGCCTTGTTGTCACAATAAATCTGTATAGGTGTTGTCTGGGGAAACTTCAATTCTTCAAGTATCATTTTTATCCATATACCTTCACAAATTCCATGGGCTAAAGCTCTAAACTCTGCTTCAGCACTACTCCTAGCCACCACATTTTGTTTTTTGCTTCGCCATGTAACTAGATTCCTCCGATAAAGGAACAGTAACCGGAAGTAGATCGTCTATCCGTAGCACTTCCAGCCCAGTCTGCATCAGTATACACTTTTACTTGAGAATGATTACTTTTTTTTTGAACAAAATACCTTTTCCAAAAGTTCCTTATCTCAAGATTTTGTAGGCCGCTTCAAAATGAGTCGGTCTAGGTGCATGCATAAATTGACTTACCATACTTACAGCAAAGGCAATATTAGGTCGTGTGTGAGATAGATAGATCAATCTTCCCACAAGTCTTTGATATCGTTCTTTGTCTTTTATTTCTTCTGCATTAGATGCTTGTAATTTCAGGTTAGGTTCAATAAGAGTTTCTACAATCCTGCAACCAAGTAGGCTTGTTTCTCCAAGTAAGTAAAGAACGTATTTTCTTTGATTAACGAAGATACCTTTATTTGATCTTGCGAATTCCATCTATAAGAAATATTTCAATGTTCCCAAGTCCTTGATTTGAAACTCACTTGCAAGATTTTTCTTAACATCAGTTAGTCCTGCTTCATCATTTCCAGTGAGAATAATATCATCTACATAGACAATTAAAACTGAGATTTTATTATTCTTAGAGTGTTTATAAAATATAGTATGGTCAGCTTGACTCTGAAGAAATCCATAGCTAGA